TACTATTAAAATTTTTTAAGATTTTATATATTTTTGCAAAATATTTATCTTTTTGATATTTTTTGATCAACTTTTTTTTTCTATAAGATTAGTAATAATAACTATAATATTTATTAAATATGATTAATAAGAAAATATATCTATAATTATATTATTTTTATTAAATTTATATTTGACTTCAAAATTATTAACTTATAATATCTCTAATTAATAGATCTGTCTCTTGAAAAGATTGTATTATATTTTAATATATTTCAGAAAGATATGATCTGTAATTACTATAAATTTTTAATCTTTTAGATATGACTTTCAAAATCTAATAGTATATATTATTATAAGTAACTCTTTTTCATAAACTAGATAATTTTATTTTATAGATAAAAGTTTTCTTAATTTAAAGACTATTGGTTGATCATTCTTGTTCTGATTTTAACTTAATATAGCTCTTATAATAAATCTGAAGTATCTATAATAATTATAAATAATAGTTTTAAATCAAATAATAAAACTGATGCTAATATAAGATATTATTTGAATTATTCAAATACTTATTATATTATTATGAATTATTTATATTTTTTATCATTATAAAGAAGTATTATAAGTAATGATATTGTGACTAAGAATTCTTTGATAAACTTTTTATAATAACTTATAAGTTCTAAAAATAAGTGAAGTTCTAATATATTTGTAAATACTAATTATTTTTTTTTGATTAACAAAAATTTTATTTACTAAAATAAAATGTTTTAGATATTCTATATATTACTAAATTATATTATATTTTTTTTTACTTAATATATAATTTGTATTTGCAAAGTATTTTCAAGTTTATTTAAAGATATTAAATATATTCTTTCTTTATTTTATTATATATTAAGATATCATCTAGATATATGATTACAAATTTGTCTAAATAATTATAAAATATATTATTTATTAGAATTATAAAGATGGCTAGTATATTAGTAAAATCAAAATATAGAATCAAGAACTTATAATATTCATAGTAAATTTTAAATATTATTTTATAAATATTTTCTTTTACTATATAAATTTGATAATATTCTAAATATAAATTCAGTTTAGAAAAATATTTTGAATCTGTGAGCCTATTTATAAGCTTATCAACTTTTGATAGAGAATAGTAATTCTTGATTATGATTTTATTCAAAGTTCTATAATCTATACATATTTTAATATATCTTTTTTCTTATATATAAAAAAAATTGATACTTTAAAAGATGAAATACTTGAATAAATAAAATCTTTTTAAATAAGATCAACTAATTACTTTTGAGTTTATCTATTTTTATGAATAAAAGTTTATAGATAGATCTGAATAATAATTTAAATCCTAAGATAAAATTAATTTTGTGATCTATAACTCTTTTAGATAATAATTAATTAGGTAAGATTTCTAAAAATATATATTATATTTCTTTTTTATTTCTAATACTTTTGATGAAAGTAATTTTTCTTTAACTTCTTCTTTATCTTTAGTATTATTAAGATATATGATAAAGAGTTTTGTATTTACTGATAGATTTATAATTTATTATCTTAAAATATATATTAAATTATAGTTAAAATCAGATTTTATTTTATTATCTACTTGAACTTTGATTATTTTTTATCTATAAGTAAAGATAATGATATTATTTCTTTAATTTATAATTAAATTGATATGAAATAATTAAGATTTATTTAGAATAAGATTATATCTTTATAATTTCAATATTTATACATCTATTTTATATATATTTAATTTTAATTTATCAATCTTTATCATGATGATGATAGTAATCTTCTTACTATTTATGAATTTAACAATTACTGATATTATCTTTTATAATTTTACTTTATTCTTTATATAAATTTTTTATTTATAAAATTTTTAGATATATTACTATCTAGTAATATTTATATTAATTTACTATTTACTTGACTATTAAATTTTAATAATCTCTTTTTATTATCTTTTAGATCTTTTTATATAATTGTAAAGATTTTTCTTACTTATCTTTTATATTTGTTATTTTAATTTTTGATTTAGAATAATAATTTTTTGTGAAATAATTAGATTTATCACAGTTATAATATATTTTTTTAGATTTATTATTCTTTTAATTATTATTATTCTTTCTATTATTATAATACCTTTTTGCTTGATCAAGTTTCATTAGTATTGAACTATTATTCTGATAATTTTTATATTAATTCTGAAAGTGATAACTATTATTATTATATCTGCTTGATAGATTTATTGATTTGTTTTGTTTATTATATTATAATAAATAGCTAATTTATAAGCTTTTTTTAATATTTCTGATATCTGATAACTAATTTCTATTTTTGTAATAAATTTTAAATCTTTAATAAAATATGTAATTTAATCTAGATCACTTATATTTGTGACTTGACTAATTATATTTCTGAATTTAATATTATAGTTTTGTATAAATCTTATTTAATAAAGAAGATGAAGTTATTTGCAAAAATATTATTAATAATATGATAGCTAGAATACTTTTCTAAGTGCTATAATAAATTCTTATCAATTTTCAAATAATATAATATTATTATCTATCTTGTATTTATTAATATATTAATGTAAGATTATATCAGTTAAGAAGATGATGATATATTATATCTAAATCTTTTTATTTGTAATTTCTTGAATTTAAAATATAGTTTTAACTTATATAATTCAGATAAGTATATTTTTAATTAACTCTTCTAAATATATTAATATTTTAACTAAAAGATAAAATGAGAGCTTAAGATCAAAGGAACTATCTTTTTTTATTATTTTAATTAGCTCAGTCATACTTTGTATAAATTATTTAAATTATTCTGAATTCATTTTAATAATATTATTATATAAAATTAAAATATATATATAAAATATATATAAGATATAAGATATAAGATATTAAAAGATGATTTTTATAATAATTATATTTATTACTATCAAGTTATAAGATTATTTTATTAATAATTATAAATAAGATAAAATATGATATAAATAATTTTAATTTTATAACTTATAATTATTTTTATTATTTAAAAGTATTCAGATTTAAAGTTAATTTATAAAACAGAAAAGTCTTATTTATAAAAATAAAATGAATACAAATATAAATAAATTAATAATAATTTATAATTAAAATATATATGAGTTAAATAGAATTAATTAATTTAATTTGTATTTCTAGAGAATAATTAATAATAATCTAATAATTAATAATATAATAAATAATAATATAAATAATAATTAAAAAGAATAAATAAAAATATAAAAGAATTATTAAAAGAAAATCTAATTAAAAATATTAATTAACTAAATTAATAATATAGATATATATAATAATTATCTGTATGATAATATATTAAATTTAATGTATTAAATATATAAATAATTATTTGTATATTTAGAGTGAAATTGATTTTAATAAAAGTAATACAAAAGCTAATCTGTTATATAGATAATACAAAATAAAGATTTGAACTAAAGAGAGATAATATAATCAAAATTATTATATTTTTTAATAAAATTATAAATTTTAATATAGAGAGAAAATTTTGATTTTTATTATATTTTATTAATAAATTTAATCTTTGATATATTATTTTTAATTATTATTGTAACATAATATAATTTTTGAATTCTAATATTTTATTTATTTAATTATATAAAATATTGAAAAAAAACTAAATAAAAAATATATTATATTAAAAGAATAATAGCTTTTTAATATTTTTTTATAATAATGATTTTATCTAATTTAGTAAAATAATTCTTTATAAATTAAAATTAAATATTATAATTAAAAAAAATATTATATAATTAAATAATATCTTGCAAAAATAAATCAAGAATAATTTAACTAATAAAAAAAAGATTATTTTAAAAACTAATTGATTATTATACATTTTATAAGAAATACAAGTAAAAAAGTAATCAAAAATTTTTAAGAAGTTTGATAAATTTTATAAAAAGTTATTTATATTAAAGAAAAATCTCAAATAATACAAGAGTTTGCTAATTTATTAAAAAAAGAGAAAAAGAATTAGTTAAATTTTCATTATTAAAAAAGTTAAAATACTTAATTTTTAAATAATTATTTGAAAAAGAAATTTTATTTAAATTAGAATAATTATTATTATAAAAATATTTAATTATTTTTATGAATTATTTTGCAAAATATTAAAATACTATTCAAAATTATATTATATATATTAATAATTTATTACAATTTTAACTTTTGATAAATCTGTTATATTATTAAAATTTATTTATTATATTTTCAAACTTTAAAATAACATTTATTTTAATAATAATAATTCTTATAATAATTGCAATTAATAATATCAAGTAAAGAATTAACAAAATCAGAAAATATAAAATAATTGAAATAAATTAACTAAAAATCAAAATATAAATAATTTTTTATAGCACTAATTCTTATACTTTTAATTTGAACCGATCGTGAGACAATTTTATATTAAAATTACAATTGAATTTCTGGAATCGAGACTTCAGATGATGTTAATACCTTAATGTAAATTGTCAGATAGATTACCAGATAAATTACCAGAATAATTTATTATTTGTTTAATTTCTCTTTTAATTTATAAATCTTTACTCTTAATGTGTGTCAAGAATTACTTGTAGATTGTCGTATTTTTGAATAAAAGGAATTATAACCTCAGCAATTAATATTATATTTATATAGTATTTCTCTGGAGTTTTTTGTGATTTTGTAAAACAAATAAAGGGAATACAATGTTAATAACATTAATATTAAAGATTATAAAAAATTTTGTTGTTTAAAATGCTTTAAGAAAGGAAAACTGTCATATCTATTATTAAAAAGAGAAGATTTTGTAGCAAAAAAAGAAAACCAAATCTATAATCTACTTTTTGGTATTCCCCTTATTTGGAAAAAAGATTCAATTCTATTATTTTTTTTTCGATTAGTCTATTTTTTGATCTTTCAGGGATCAGGAACACCGTTTTCCGACTCCTCAGTGTTGATTTCGTGCGAAGATTGGGTGAAACCCAGATTTGGATTTGTTAAGCCAGATGGCGTGAATACTGGCGAGTGTACTGATAAGGTAGATGTGGTATTGGTGTTGGAGGTATTGTCGTTGTTCTCGTCTAATACATTCCTATTAGTCCCATGATATTGATTACCAGCTGTCGACGCAGACACAACGGCAGCTCCACGCTTATTCGCAAAATCTTCCATGAAGTCCCATAAACGGACACTATCCAATACACGAACTTCCTCTCCATTCTGAATCTTGCGAATATTCACATCTTCTTTAGTGCCATCACGATAGACATGTGCGTAAAAGCAAGAGGTGCCGAATTGGCATTGACCATCGCCGTAATTAAAGTGTTTGCATGGAATTTCGCTGTATTTTACATTTATAAAATGACCAATGATTGTTTTTTCAGATACTTGAAAAAAATTATAAAAAACAGACATTATTACTATTCAATATCAATATTACTGACCTGCACTTTCTTTTATACAAATTAATCACTCTTTGCTTTTCTTGACGATCCGTGATCCAAGTTGTACTTGGCGTGATAAAATGACTAGGGGTTCGACAAATAGGACATCCACGAACCGCTTGATTGTCCATGGTGATGTTAGATCGCCATTGTCGAATACATTGAAGGCAAAAAGCGTGTTCACAGTCTTTTATCATCAAGATGGAAGAGATAATGAATTATTAATATTATTAATGCAACTCGAACATTATCAAGAAAAGAAAAAGCTTACTCAAAAGTCCAAATCGCGCATCTTCCTTAGACAACACCTTTTCGTAGCAAATCCCACATTCCAATTCTTCCGGTTTCACACCATCAACCACCTTAATTTGTCTATTTATACATTCATCGATATGCTCTGTGATTAACGGGATAAATTATAATCGCATTAAAAAAAAATCGGAATGAAAAAAACAAATCACTGAATCATCATCAAATAAATAATGCAAACCTTGATGTTCTTGTGCAGATTTATATGGATGCAAGACAAGTTTCAAGCAAGAAGGACAAGGCCTTCCATGCAAATAATGACAACGGTCGCCGTATCGACAATTCCCAGCAATACCAAACGGGCATAGCTAGAAAATTTGATCCATAAAGCATAGATGAAGAAAAAGAAAATCCCAAACCAAATCAATCCCATTCCATTCCAAAGTATTTGATTGATAATGTACAAGAAAACGATGACGACAATATTTATGAATAAATATTTTATTTCAGTTTTTTAAATATTCAAAATTTTTGTTATTTTATTTATGTGTAAATTTTGTTTGCATTTTTTTAAATATATCTCGAAAATAATGACGAATGTAGTCGTCGAATATATAATAAAATTTATGTATAAATATATATTACAGAAAAGATTTTCGCCCAACATATACATTAACAATTAAGATAGTGAAAGTGGAAGGGAGCAGAAGAGGTGGTGGATGGTGGTGGGTGGTGATAAAGGAATTTAAATATAGTAATAAATAAATAAGACTAACATACCGGCTCAGAACGTCTAGAGTCAATACTAATTCCAGGAGTAGTACCAGAATCTTTTAAACCGGCTTTAGTAATAGCGGAATAAGAAAGTGGCGCTTTAATTTGTTCAGCTGTCTTTGGAGTATCACTAGCCGCAGCAGCAGAAGTGGCAGAAGTGGTAGTTGTATTATTGCTGTTAGGCATTTCTGACGGCATTGACTCATTTTTTTCCTCGTCCATCTTGAAAAGTACGTCGTCATCAAAAGGAGTAAAACGATGAGGTGATAATTGTGATCCATTATAATCAATGTTGCCCAACATTGCAGAATCAATGGATTTGATATCATGTACGGGAATATTTATGGCAGGCGTTGCATGCGATAGTTCAAATGAGAAGTTAGAGTAGGAGGCTGGTTGCGGATGAGGGGGATGTATTGGTGGTTGGTGATGTTGATTAAGATGCGGACTAACATGATTATTGCCATTAGTAATACTAATACTAATATTATTGGGAGTAGATCGTTGTTGTGGCTGATTAAAATGATTGCTCCAATGCTCGAAATTTCCTTTGACGTTGTTATTATTGTTCTGATTATGGTTGGTGTTAATCCCGTAATTAGGGAATCCAGGACCGAGATGCTGACCATCATTATGATTTTGATGATGATTCAAATAATTAGAACTCATGCCAACACCTTGAGGCAATGATCTCGCAAATGGATGAATATGAGACGGATCAATATTATTATGATGATTATTACTATTACTAATATTACTAATATTAATATTATTATTATTATTATTAGTATTAGTATTATTATTGAATTGATCTCCATTCAGAGGAAATTGAAACAATGTAGGAGCTCCATTTAACCAGCGTCGTGGGCTGTCAAACCCCTCCTCTTGACGACTACGTCGTCTTTCTCGTTCAGCATGAGTAAGTAAATCATTCAAGGAGGAAGGAAGTAGCTCCTCCTCATATTCAAACATTAATTCGTCATTATTTCGTAAATCTTGCATCTCTGGAATGCTTTGAAGTTGATGTGTATTACTAGTGGGCGATAACATGCCACTGTCACTTCCATAAGATGTGCCACCAGGTGGCATAAGCAGAGGCTTGGAGCCGCTACTTTGATGGAATGGCGAAGTTCCAAAATGGTCTGCTGTCGGATGTAAAATATTAGGCAAAGATCTCCGATGATTATGAATCTGAATTGGAGCAGTCAAATGATCTCCGTATGTGGGCGAAAAATTGTGAATCCTCAAATCTTGCACGGCCTCATCAGGAGAGAACGGCTGATCATTCAGAGAAGCGGTAAGGTGACTATATTGTCGATTATTCATGTAATCTGGGGCTGGATTAAGTGGTATACGAGAGAATGGTGCACCACCACTACCCACAGAAGAACTCATTTGGGGGAAATCATTTTGCTCATGTCCACCGACATATGGATGCATAATAGGAGATATAATTTCTGGAATACTCCCACTAATAACTCTTTGATTGTTATGACCATTTTTATTGTTATTATTGTTGCCATTAGTAATAGATCGACCGTTGCTGAGTTTACGATCTAGTGTGTGAGACAGAGCGCACTTAGTTCCAAATTTGCAATTTCCTTTGAGAAAGTATTTACAAACATAATTGTCTGCCGATGAATTTTTGTCGTGTGAAAATGCACAATTCTTTCCAGCTGTGCAGGCACTGCTTTTGAAAAACTTGCATGGAATATGCGCTAAATTACTATTACCTATTATCAGTGAAAAAATTAGCCGAGTAAATACCATTATCAAATCTTTTATGCGCAATTGATTTCAGCAGGTAGAATTTCAAGAAAATCAACTTACTTTTCGAGCCATTCGATTTTGCATCTGTAGTAGTATTTCCATTCTGATTATTATTGTTATTATTATTGTTGTTGTTGTTGTTATTGTTGTTGTTTTTTCCTCTTCTTGGAGGTTGATTAGGTAAACCACCAAAACCAGGTGTAGGATCATTGGTAGGCGTGGTAGGAGCCGAAATTGCCTGTGAAATTTGGTTTTTCATGGAATCATGTGACATCTGGAACATGGCATAAGATTCGTTTGGTATGGAAGGTGACGTTACAATTGATGGTACATTGAAAAAAGTAGAATCTGATGTAGTATGCTGATAAAGTTGTCCGAGTACTGACGGAGGTGGAAGCGATGCAGCTTGTTTTGACGGGTTTGCTGGCAAACTCTTTTTTAACTCTGCAAAATTGAAAACGTTCAAGTTATTCATGTTAGGTCTGGGTGAATTGTTGTAATGATTATTAATAATATTAAGATTATTCTTTTGTTGTTGCTGTGGTTGTAGCTGTGGTAGCTGCTGTCCTTGAGGTGCTGCGGCCATCCTTTTTTTTTTTTGAAAAGTTGTTTTTTTGTTTCCTTTTTCTCGCCGCCGGATTTATGTTAAAATTTTTATATTATATTAAATAGTAAAATAGATGATGTTGTATTTCTAACTGACGACGCATCACACGCAAGAGGTTTTTTTTTAGGTTGTTCGCTTTAAGGGAAAAAAGATGATGATTTATTTTATATAAATTTAATTTATATATGTGAATATAAATAGTATTTTTAGATAAATAAATAGTAGGATAAATTAATTATGAGAGAAAATAAATGAAAAAAAAAATGAGAAAATGAAAGGAGACAGAGGAAAAGAGAGGGAGATTTTTATTATTTATTATTATTGTATTGCCACTAATAATGATGTTTGTTGGTAATAGTGACAAGTATTAGGGGAAGCGTACAGGGTTTTGTATGACAATGAAAGAGAGAAGCGACCGATTTATCCTATATATCATTTACTCTATCGCTCAGCACCTTTCTAATATATATATGTATACATCAACATCATCATCATCATAGTACCTGATTGTTTGGCTTACACGACGTTTATTATTGCAACACATACACACACAGAGTATTTTTTTATTTTGATTGGTAGAGATATAGTCGGCCGTCAGGTATAATTTCTACTGGTTTTGACCGCAGTTTTTCTGGATGATTATGTGAATGAGATGGATGCGGTATCAAAAAAAAGTGACTGAGATAAATTAACTGATAAATTAAATCAAGTAAGCACGTGTTTTTAATTCAAACTTTTTGAGATAAATGAATTTTTTGATTAACAGCAAGAGATCAAAGGGAGCACAAACGGCCCTAACCCTTCCTCCTTTCTCCTCATACAACCTTTTTTTAAAGATTTTTATTATTAGGAGTGTTCAGTTTTATTGTGATGTGTAAAGTGTAATATGTATGCATCACATATACCACATAAACATCGATGACGACAACACAGGGACGCGTGGTTTTCAACTTTATTTATTTAAGCAAGAAGAGAATGAAGGGGGGATGAAAAGAAAATTATAAACTCAAAAAACATATCCAAATATACGTGTATTATTGTTAAATGCGTACTTTGGTCTATTGTAAAGTAATCTCAATGGATAATGTGGTAATTCTACAATGAGATGAAAAAGTAGGGGAAAAAGTAGTTTAACCATAATTAAAATAAGATATTTGTTTATAAAAAAAAAAAAAACGCATAGAGAATCAAGATTAAAACTTCTACGTAATACAATGCCTGCTAATCATTCTATGAACATCGACTCGCAGTACACATACAATCAAAATAGCCAATCCACTGATTTATTATTAATATATCCCGCCACAAACAGAAATAATAATGCATAAAGCTGAAAATAGCTTTTTTTAGGGCTCACGCACCGTCACTCATTCCAATTCCCTTTTTCCGATCTATTGATTCTTTTTCTGTTCACTGGCGATTTATAGTTTAGTGCAATCATAAATGTCCAATATTATTTGTGAAAAAGCTGCCGGTGGATCTTCGCATAGAATTAGTCCTTGATTATTATTTCCATTCTTATTCAACAAGAATGGATATTATTTTTTGCCAAACAACGGCACAAAGACGTTATCATTTGTTAAGGTTTGCTATTTTCGTGCATATGTAACTCATTTACATCATGCACGTACGATAAATGGTATAATAATAATACTACTATAGCAGGCACAAATAAATAATAATAATAATAAGCATGCGTAAATCAGGTGGATGATGATGATGCCGTGTTACATGTATTACTTTTCCAAATTCTAAATTTATATCTCTTTTTCTAGTGCTGGCCGAAGAATGTATTTCAAATAAAATTCTAATTACGTCTTAGTAAAGAAAAAAAAGAATTTTTATTTTTAATTAATCTCTTCGGTATCTTGCTTTAAGAATCAACAATCCAAAATCTAACAAAAATAATAAATTTTCTTCTAAAGAGCAAATTATATTTTTAACAATTTTCTATGCTTAATAGAAAATTTATATATCTTATGTAAAAGTATCAACCGCACCTGTACGTATTTTTTAACTATTGAATTTTTAAAAAGCCAGATTTTATTAATAAATATTTTTATTTATATTAAAATAGTTTAATATTTTTTTATATTAAACTGGAAAATTTGAGTTTGATTAAATCGGTTATTTTCAAAATAAAACTGTTACTATAATTGAATTAATTATAATATGTATATAAATAATTGAAAATCTTAGAAAGAGCAAATTTAACTTATCGCATAATACTAATTATTCGAGAATACAAATATAATTTCAAAGTTAAAAATAATGCCATCAAAAATATTAACCGGATTTATCCGTACCATTAAATCCGCAAAATTCTTTAAAATTCATATCCTTTAAAGCAGATGATCATATGCATCAAGTCATGAAATAAGATATAGAGGTATTAATTGATCTTTATAAATTTGGAAGTTTTATAATAACTGCCTTTTCGCGATGACGATAGCACAAATAAAACATCACTACTCGGTTATTCTGCGAATATCATCTTCGGTCACTTCAATTTCTTTGATTACTTCAGCATATTCTTGTACCACTTTTTCAAATTCTCCACCAATGCTCTGATAATCTGCGAGTTTCGTGTTTAATTCCCGCAATAACTTACTTTTCTCCTTCTCCTCAATACGTAAATGATCACTATTCGATTTATTAATTCCTTAATTAGAATGATTAATATATCTATATAAATATAGAAAAAGAAGATCGTACCGAATAGATTTAAGTGCCTCATTTGTGTCTTGATCATAGATGGTCATCAAAGCATTTATCCTAAGAACCCTATAAATGAATGAAAGGCAAATCAGACCACACAAATATTATACAAATTATTTCTTTATTTCTCTCACCTTAATTTCAAAAGAATACTCTTTACAATACTCGAAAAATAATCATCGAAAATAGTGTTTTTCTCAAACTCATTACGATACTTGAACTCTTCTAACATGGTCCAGAGATCTATCAAAATCTCACTAATTACCTATTGAAAAGATCTTTACCATCTGATAGATAGATATATGCACTAATATCTATTTTAAGACATCTATGATACTAATAACAACAATATAACGGTTTATTACCTTCAGATAATCTGCGAGAAGCTCGGCTAAGCGATTTTTATCATTTAACGCGTCTAAATTCACAGAGCGTAGATTTTCGGTCCGAGAACTTACAACTTTATTTAGTTGTATCGCTTTCGCAAATAAAAGCTTCTTATTCGACTCTTACCGAATTTTCACAAAAAAAAATACAAATAAACAATCGAATGTCATAATGGAATTAGTGAATTAATATATGACACACCTTCTTTATAGTAAAATTTAGCTATTTCCTCGCATTTCTTGATTAATTGATTTTCAACCGTAGATAATATTTCTTCTTTAGATATCTGCATGAGAATCTTGTGAATTTCTAAAGAACAAGCAAGAATATATATACGCGAATATATATATCTATACATATATATTTTTATCTATGCTTACGCTGAAATCACGCAAATAATCTTCAATTGGCATACATAAATCTTCCTCTTGCAAACCAAGTAAAGTTATATCGGAATCTTGAAATGCAGAGCTCAAAGTCCAATGTTGTTTAATCTCAGAATACGAAAGAACTTGATCTAAAGCTAGTAATGTCTTAATAATAAACAAAATTGATCAGTGTTTCGAATAAATAACCAAAAAACTCCATATATTTTACCTTCTTGTTATGAGTTAGTCCTGTATTTTCTGCTTTCTCTTCTCCTTGCATTGCCAAAATTTGTAGTTCATTGTATAAGGCTAAATTCTCTAAATACTCAATTTTGTCTTTAAAATAAACCTCCTAATAAAATCAAATATATATAGTATTAGGAAAGACTGAGACTTCAGAAGTTTAAGCAAACTTGAGTGCATTTGCGTGCCTTTTTAGCTTCTTCAGCTAATGACTTTGTCGTTCCATCAGAAGCAATGTGCTGCGTCGTTAATTGATGGTAGAAATCTGCAAAGTGAGGATTAGAGGAAAGCAAAGTTCGAGGTATTAGAGCATACATTTTGTACGCGTTAAAAAGACGTGTATAGATCGTCTTACATGATCGTCATTACATTCTACCCTACACGGTCTCCATGGAAACTGAATTTCAAAAGTTGCGCGAACATTTTCAACTTCTTCGAAAGGAGCTTTCTTCAAATAGTCAAGAAGTGGTGCTTAACAGCATTAAGGAGCCTTTATTGTTTTTAGAAGAGGGGGAAAACGGTTGTGAAGGCTGGCGAGGACCTCCTATTAGTTCGAAATTACAGCAATATTTCATTGATAAATTATATTTCAAGCATTTGGAATTTTTATTACAAGTTCCTACATTTTGGTCCGAAAAAAGTCACGTTCTAGGAGCACCAAAGAGAAAACTACTTACAGAGTATTTTGTCCCTTCAGGAAAAAAAGATTTGCTAAAAAAGTTACGAGCATGGCTTGCACTTCAAGTATTAGTCTCGCACTTATCAATTTCCAAGAAAGAAGAAAAAGATGATGATTATATACCTAGACTTAATATCACTTTAGAGCTTTTGTTGCTTTTGCTAAAAGATTATTCGATCAGAGACTTTTATGAGGCAATCTTTTCAAATCTAAAGAGCAACTATAGAATAGAAGAAAAACAAGAAGAATGGAGAGATTTCGTTGTGCTCTGTTGTTCTATACCGCAGCGTTGGGCGAATTTAAGAGTGCTTGAACAGGATTCAAAAAACAAGATCAAAAATTTAGATGAAGAGACAATGAGAGATGTGTATCCATGTAATCACAAAAACTAAAAATATTTCTTTTTGTATTCTTAACCAAGATATCAAATTATGCTCTTGAATTCCTTAACTATATTTTTGACGATTATTATAAAAGAAATTATTTTACAAGATTAGGATCTGAAATTGAACTCGTGATATGGTATAGATCCAATGCTGACGAAGCAAAAGGCATGTTCAGTGGAAAAAATCATTATCAAAGGTTTATTTCAAATTTAATAAACAAGAATCTGTTTTTCAGAGGAGGAAATGGAAACACTTTCGTTTGCATTAGGGGAGGTTATCACGAAAATATGTAGGATCGGTCATTCGAGTGAGTATGCAGGGTATTATCCAATTCACGCTATACAATTCAGCATAACACTTATAACTTATATTTCAAAGAAATCCTGATGCAATCAATCTACTTTACATTCTACAATCGCCTATACAATCACACTACCCCGTCATATTGGCAGATTTGGTCCAGAATGCTGCATAATTTTTCACCTGATACATTAGAATCTTTTGTTTCTGCCTTCCTGGCACATGCCGAGCTCTCTTCGCTGAAATCGATTCCGTCCATGCCCATCGATGATAATTCACGTTATCAAATACAGAAAGTAGCTTGGCTGCTAAAAATGTTAATTGGAGAAGATGTTAGCGACAGCATCAAGTACATGATAAATTCAAAATATTTTATTGGTGGCAAGATATTTTCTGTTGGCATTCTTCGAGTATTTTGTTGTTTTTGGAGCTGGGGAAAGCCAACTGAGAAAGGTTATTCAGTAAAGTTAGATGTAAAAGATGGTTGGTATTGTATTTATAATATGACATTATGCATTCAATTTCCAATTGATGAATAAATTTAATTACCAGACCTTGCGCAACTATTGTTGTCACTTATTTCTATGTGGTCTGATCCAACTTTCATAAAGCATGCATCGAGTGGATCTCAAATATGTAAGGCGAGTCTTGTTTCTCATGCTTTACAATAATCGAATGTTTTGACTCGCCTGATAAAAAATTTAGACCTTACTAGTGCCATCATTATCATCCTTGGTTATCTTGAAAAGGAGACTCTCGTTAAAGCGGCGATTCCAAACGAAGTTGTTCCAGGTGTAGGAAGATGGCTGAAGAGTCCTTTTCCCCAGGCGCGAAAACTCGGAATGGTTTGTCTTTGTTTTGATACGTATATTTTTGTATATTTAAATCCTTTGTTCTACTCGGTATGAATTATTTGTAGATTACCGCGGAAATTATCTCTCAATTGACTGATGAACCCGATAAATCTTTGAAGTTTGAAATGGAGGAGGATGATACAAGTAATGATTTGCGAGACTTGGTGAATTGCAAAGATGGAATAGTAAAATTTACAGCATATGAAGAAATTCCGCTTGGTATCTTTATTTTTTCTTCCTGTTTAATTTTTTCATGCAAATTATTCTTTAAATTGTTTTGAAAATAGCTGACGAATTAATAAAAAAAGACGAAGGAAATGAATTTAAAATGGAAAGTAACAAGCTTGATCAGGAGAATCTTGAACAAGTGCATAGCATAAAGGGTAAGAAACATTAAAAATATATGCTTTTTCCTGGGTTTCTAGTCTCATTTCTTTATATAACCGTTTAGAAGATCACATCATAGATGAGGTTGCTGATTCCGATGATGAGGAAGATGAATTCGAACCTTACCCAATGGAAGAGGAAAGTGACAAAGATGAGAACTTGAACAGGAAAAAAATCAAGCCACCAGTGTGTGTATATTTCTCGATTTCAATCTTACTTTTTGAAATTATTCCTTCATTAACGCACTTTTGTTCGGCAGGTATATTAAAGAATTAGTTTCTTACCTCAAAACTGCGGATGATCCCGACAAAATTGACATTGCACTTCAAGTCGCTCCCAAACTCATCCGTCAAAAAATTGGTTATGGAACTGAACTTGGTGCCTTTTGTTCTTACTTTCTTTTTTTTTCTTGAAGCAAATTTTCTTATTCTGAATTTATACTTTCAGATGAGCATACAGTGGAACTGACAACGAAGCTCGTATATTTGCAGGATTCATATAAATTGGAAAGATTCGACGAAAACCAAAATGCCGCATTATTAGCCCTTGTATATGGAAGCCCCAAACTTGCTGTTTCGTAAGTTTGTTATTAATCATTTAATTGCCTCGTTGAATTATTCAATTAATTTATCATATATTTTATACAGGGTGCTAATTGAACAGTTTTTTCAAAAACCGATTTCACTCGCTCAAAGATTTCTCATATTGGCTTCGATTGCAAAGGGAGCTAAGGAGCTGGCTGGCATTAAAGATGAACAGGTATAATAGATGATTATTCAAAAAATCCTGTTAAGCTGATATTTCATGCAATCATCATTCATTTTAGGAAGTTTCTGCAGAGAAGAAAGTTTTGGCTCTTGATTCATCAAATAACAATATGAAAATTTCCCCCGTAAACGATCTCAGAGTTACAAAGGAAAGACGATTCTCCAAGAGAATGATAGTGGAGATGACACGGGCTAATAGCTTAGAAATAAATCGATTTAATGAATTTGCTGCCGATACTTTTTTCATGCCTTTGATTGCTGGCTGGTGGAATTGGACTCGTGATAGGTAAATGAACGCGCTACAAAAACAATTCCAATTCTGTTACAAAAAGTTTAAGACACATGATTTCAGTGACCACGGCAATATACTACATCAAACGGTCCTTGTCCAACGATTCATTACTACATTAGGTGTCATTGTGCAATGTTCGAGTAAGTTGCTTGTGTATTTCTTTGTTCTTTGAATTTAATGGTTTCATGAATATCCACATTTAATTATTACCATAGAAAACACATTTGCGCACAAGCAAATAGTACACGAGTTCTGGGACTTCCTTTTGTCGATGCGCTTTCTCGATGATCCTGGGATCATTTTGTCATTACTATATGGCATTAATGTAATTGTGAATGCAATTTACGGACGTGAATTAGTAGAGTTATTCTCGAAAGAACTTGTCGAGACTGAAGAATGGATTTCAGGTATGAAGAAAGAATTTAGCTATAAATGAATTTACCCCTTTTTTCCCAACTTCCCAACTAATAAATTTTTTTACAGGATTGATGAATAATCGGATTACGGATAATAAAGTCATGGAAATGGCAGCACAAACTTTGTATCGAGTAAAGAATATTGTCATCGAGTATCAAAGAATGCTAATAGGAAATTTACTTCCGATTACATGATTTAATCTTGTGTAAATAGATTTGTATTTTACACAGAATCAATTCATCAAATAAAAATTTGATGACCAACAAATCGTATGCATTAAAATGATAGTTGGGTTACAAAAAATTCGATATCTGCTTCAATAAAGTGTATGGAAAATGCACATCCATTATAACGATAGTCCAGTGAACAAAAAAAAAATAAATAGTGAATTGATATAAAATAAAAATAATTATGGTATAAAAAATTACATGTTCGAATATTATATATGTATTATATATGTTTTTTTTTGTGTTATATTCATGATGATGATGATGATGCTTTAAATAGTTCTTTTAATGTATCTTCATCTTTCTTTTTTCGCATACGTTCAACCTCTTGAGCACCACCAGTCTTCTTCAATTTATTCTCTGCAACAAATTGCGATAGTTCCTGTTCAAATTCATCGATCCGGTTGGCTAATTCTCGTTCACGGATTTTTTCCGCTTGCGCCATGGCACGCAAACGACGTTCCGAATCGGGAGCAATACCTCGAACTTCTTGTAGGACCGTTTTCAGGCCCTCGAAACTTTCATCTTGTGGTACTGGACGAAATTCTTTTGGTCGTGATTTCGATTTGATTTCCACTACTTTGAGAATATTATTGAAGACCTCTGTTAATTTTTGATGATCATCTTGCATATCTTCTAATAATTCCTCCTGATGAGTTAAGAATTTTTGTTCTTCGACAATTGTTTGTAATTCTTCCTCCCAAGTCTTTTTCCATTGGGGTTTAACCGTTTTTATAAATGTTGATAAAGCCGCGAGTTCTTTTTCTACTTCTGCAGCTTCTTTTCTGATGTAACTAACGGAAGCCTGGCTAGGTTTGGATTTTCGTTGTGTTACGTCCGCTTTGAGTTCATCAATTATGTCTTGAAGTTCATCGACACGAGTTAACAATTGTCTTGAACGAGTATCGAGTTTTGTTTTTCCCGCATCTATGAAGTTACGCGCAGATCCTACATTCGTCATTGCGACTTGTTTCACAGCGGATGTCTTCTCTGTGAGTGATTGTACTAGTTGCTGAGTTTCATCCTGGAATTCAGTGTATAGTTGTCTCATTACACCTAAATCTCTTCGTAAAATTTGCACCTCATCAAATTGATTTTTAATATCACTGACAAACTTTTCTGTGATAAGAGAGGATTGACGTTTTACGTTAGCTTTAGCATTGTCCGTTTCCTCCTTTTGCTTGACATTGGCGAGCACTTTTTTCGCTAATTCTCTTAATTGCGTGTGAGATGGTGCTTGTCTTGCCGCTGCATTTGTTTGGGCAGCATTACGACGAATAAGTTCGTTGTTTTCGGTAAATGATTTCTTAATCTCCCGGATTTCTTTAGCTAACGTGGCGATACTCTGATCAATATGCTTTTTAACTTGTTCCAGGGCTAAATAGAAATAATTGTATCATTGTAATGAGCGGATAATTATAATTGACAAGATCATTCAACTTGATTCAATTTTTTTAATACCTTCAACATTCAATGCTAAGACCGAATTATTTCTTACTTCCTTAAGATCTTCTAATTCATATAACACACCGCTTGCGGTATCTTTGATATAAATATTTGGGAAATCGTCCATCCCCGGATTATATGAAAATTTTTCAATAAAAAGCATTCGCAAAGCAGGAATACTAATATCCCCATCATATGATACTTTTTTAATATCTTTCCCAAGCTGTAAAAAGAGTGTTAGTCCCTTTTGCATAGATGTATCTGGTAATTACGAAAAATATAAAAGATATTAATGATTTGTGAATTATCGAACGACATGAAACAAATAATTACTATTTACCTTCAACATTGACTGTCGGGATCGTATGCGTGCGCACTTCACTTTGTCCAACTTCATATTTCGTTTCAACGGAGCTACGTGGAGTTGATAGCTCAACAGATTCTCCAGCTGCATCAGAGTCTGCTTGTTCTTCAGCCAATGTTACTTCATCTTCCTCTCTCATAGAATTAAGAGGCGGTGAATGCTGGCGTGGTGGTGTTGTTGTTGGTGGTGGTGCTGGTGCTGCTAGCGCAGCATCCTGATTTAGATTTGAACGTGGAGCTGATTTATGTGCATAAGCGGAATATCGTTTTGAAGCTCTACGTTCTAATACATTGCTTTCTTTCAAAGCATTCAACGGGTCAGCCAATCGAGCTGAATTACTAGTTTTTTGTAATGGAGCTGCTGAAGGAGCACTAACATTACGTCGAAGAGGCGTAGGATTATTTGGATCATTTGGCGACAGATCTGAAGCGTGAGTTTTACCCTGTACAGATGGACCTGCCGAAAGTTGTCTATGCAATTGAGGAGGAGAACTAACGGGTGTAGCCGTTTCCGAACCGCTATACATTTCTCGATATATTGCCTGCTTTGCTTTCAAACCTTGAAGCAGATTTACTATCACATCTCGAATTTTAGGAAGATGTAACTCCAGCGATGTTGCTGATGGATCTTCATTAAGAGCTGCTTCTAAGCAGGCGCGTAAGTTATTGGGTATAGGTTGTAAATCGCTGAGACGTAAGTTTATAAGAATCAAAATTTGATTATTATATTAAATCCATAGAAATCCGGGATCAACATGTTCTTTACCTAACATTTATTCCTTGCTTCGAAAAAGAATGACATGCCTTTTTGAAATCGCTCGTTAACTGTAAGAATACGTCGTAAACTTTTTGTTTTGGCATAGTGCCTTGTGACCAACCAGTTAAACTTTCCAACAATGACTTTGTAGCAACCAGCAACGTAGTAACCGACTTTTCTATCGAACTCATCTTTGATATTTCCAATAATGAAAATTAAATTAGATATCCATGAATGTATAAAGAATACCACGTCAAATCGATGAATGTAAAATGAAGTATACTAGTGTCAATGCGGGGAAATAACCAGCCCGTTTTTATTCAAGAACGGATAAGACAAAAATACACTTACAGGACTAGAATTACCAGAATTTCTTCTCTGCTCCGACTGACCGTCTCGTTCTTTTCCCGTAGTAGGTGAGGAGGAAGGTCGTCTAGAGGAACTTCTGGGCAAAGGCTGAGGTGGTTGTACGGCACCTTGATAGCTTTGTGGAACTGGCATTTGTAACGCAGAGTAGTCCATTTTCAAAGTATTGTTGCATGAATTTAAAAATATAGTATTTGAGCACCCTCTTGAAATGGTAAGTTTGTAAGAATATTCGTAAATCAAAATGTTTCCGGGTCAGCGCGATGACGTTTAATATAAAGGTCACGCTGTGTAACAAATCCGATTGAGCATTAATAATCAGTAATACGGTCTAATATTATTTAAAAAAAAAAATTTTACAATGTCTTCCAAAAGTGGACAAGGTAAAAATAAGAAGAGCCATCTTACAAAGTATAAAAATTATACCGACAACGATTTCCTAGAAAAAAATTCGGATAAACAAAAAAGAAAGAGACAAGACAAAGAGAAATTCGTGGAAAATGGCTCAGATAAATTCAAGAAAAATAAAATTAAGCATATTGATCTGATAAGTGATGATTCTGACACGGAACATTCCGACCCAATAATAACAAACAAGAAGATTCAAAAATCAGGAAGTAGTCAAACGAAGGTCAAAAAGGATGATAAATCAAAGAAAAAAAATTTTTTTCCAATCTTTGACATTATCTCAACGGATGAGGAATTTGATTCAGAACCTTTTCTAGATATGAAAAAGGAAAAGTCAGGAAAGAGCATAAAGAAAATTAAAAAGGATAGTAGTTCAAAGAAAAAGGTTTCAACTAAAATCTTTGAGAGTATCTCGAGTGATGATGAGGCGCATAAAGAAATAGCGGATCCTCCAAACGATTCAAAAAAGAGAAAGAAAGAGGGAAAAAAAATAATAGATTTGACAAAACAAGAAGAGAAACCGGACAATACAACCAAGAAATCATCTAAAGGAAAAAAGGTCGAAGAATATTTCTCAGGACCTGATCTCTCAGATGACTACACAGAAAAAGTGTCGAAAAAGTCCAAAAAATCTGAAGTCTCGGTACAAATTGAACATGTGGAAATGAATGTTAAAAAAGGTACCAAAACATCAAAAACATCTTCTAATCTTGAGACATCCAGACAGAGTGTATCCAACACATTAAATAATTCTCAATCAACATCCTCTAAAGTCAATTCTCGTTTGAATCATCATCCTTATTCTGACGAGAGTAAATCAACATCCAATTCTAGTGCCCCCGATTATTACCAACAACATAGAATTGAAATAAGCGGCGATCGTACATATGATCCAATTACCTCTTTTGATCAAATTGATGTTGATGAAGATACAAGAAATTATTTATTGAATTTCAAGAAGCCAACACCCATCCAAGCGAGTTGTTGGCCAATTTGTCTCAGTGGAAGAGATGTAATTGGAATAGCCGAAACTGGGTATATATTTTTGGTATCGGTAATGATAGTATATAAGCTGATTTTTATTTTAATCATTACACCAATCCCTTTTTTTTAGATCGGGAAAAACATTGGCATTTACTATACCAGCTATCAAACATGTTAAAAAAAATTCTTCCTTCAAGAAAAGTTCGCCAAATCCATTAATTCTCATACTTGCGCCAACTCGTGAATTAGCCATGCAAATTCAGGAGCAAATCGAAGAAATTGATTCGGTGTCGTGTGGCAAAAGCTTATGTGTGTATGGTGGTGTTCCTAAAGAACCACAAAGAAAGGATCTTCGTAAAGGAACAAAAGTTATAGTTGCTACCCCCGGTAGACTTATTGATTTTATTGACGAAGGTAGTTGTGACATCAGCAATGTCTCATATCTTGTACTTGATGAAGGTAAACACTCCCGAAGTATACCTATTATTGTAGTAATCTTATGATGGATCAAAAAAAAATAATTTCTTATTCTTGTTTAGCCGATCGTATGCTTGATATTGGATTTGAAAAAGATATTAGAAAAATAATTTCCAAAACAAATTCGAAACGGCAAACTTTAATGTTTTCCGCTACTTGGCCAGATTCTGTGCGAAAACTCGCTGAAGACTTTTTGAAAGATCCTGTTAAAGTTAACATTGGCTCATCTGAACTGGCCGCCAACAACGATGTCACCCAAATAGTTGAAATTTTATCAAACCCGAACGAAAAAGAAAAACGTCTAGTTCAACTTTTGAAAGAGTATCATGGCAACAGGAGCAATCGCGTTTTAGTCTTTGTTCTTTACAAGAAAGAAGCAACACGAATTGAAAATTTTCTCACATATAGTGGCTTTGAGGTTCAATCCATTCATGGGGATAAAGGTCAATTTCAACGTACAGAAGCTCTACGAGCCTTTAAAGATGGGACATATCCATTACTGGTCGCTACGGATGTTGCAGCAAGAGGACTTGACATTCCGGATGTTGAGTATGTGATAAACTATACTTTCCCTTTGACCATAGAAGACTATGTTCATCGAATTGGACGAACAGGACGTGCTGGTGCCAAGGTAAATTTATTATATAGATCAAAAGCGATATTATTCTCATGTGGCCAAAATTTACGTTTTTTCTGTCGATTTCAAATAGGGAACTTCCCATACCTTCTTCACAGTCCATGATAAAAGCCATTCAGGTGAATTGATAAATATATTGAAAAAAGCAAAACAGAATGTCCCAGAAGCATTACTTAATTTTGGCGGAACTGTAAAGAAGAAGGAACACAAAGTGTACGGCGCTTTTTATAAGGACATTGATCCTTCTGCGAAGCCGAAAAAAATCATTTTCGATGATTAAAGTAGATACTTTTCGAATTGTAAAGTTTTTTCATTTAAAAACATTTTAATTCGATACGAATCCTCAAACTTTTTCTATTCTGGACCGATTTTTTATTTATTTATTTGTATTAATTTTTTTCCTAAAAACTTATAAATAAATACGCCAAGTCAATGTAATTATAGAATAATTACATACATTGATCACATTTCACTTTGTTCAAAAAATTGACGCAAAAATTCGGCTTCTTTTGCCATTTCCTCGATGGAACGAGGTTTCCTTTCCTCATTATCGATTTTGAACAAAGTCGAATTTTCTTTCGCTTGGTATATTGTAGCGAGTTTCAACTTGTCAATATCCTTATATATATCATCATTATTTGCCCAGTCACCAAATTTTCGTGGTATAACGTGTACATGACAGTGTGGCACCTAAAGAATCGATTGATCAGACGAATTTATATGAATAATTAAATTAATCTTTACATAGAGTTACCGTTTGTCCTGCTGCTGGGCCATCCTTTTTCAAAAGAATCAATCGAGTTAATATACAAGCAAAAAAGAATTAACAAAAAAGTATCATTATATACATACTTGCATTGCTATTGTCAGTGAAGATCCGTTATATTCTCTCTCAATCACTCTCCCGATTTTTTGAGCACTTTGAAACATATCACATACCTACCATTAATATATGATTAAGTGGGATTGATATCTACGAATAATTAAACCTAGGCTGAATAAAAAATCTCTACCTCTTCTGGAGTCAAGTCTGTATAGCGAGGAACGACTCGTCGCGAGATCACCAAAACATCTTTGAAATCAAACATATAATTAGCTAATGATTTATGATATTACTATTTTAAACCTAAAAAAAATAATGCTTACGTCCACTTTTTTACAATAATAATAATAATAATAATAATAATAATAATAATAATAATAATAATAATAATAATAATAATAAAAATTAGAATTATACACTTTAATATTCATGATACACAAATATAACCAATGCTTACGGCACTATCGGTTTCAAATTAATTAAACCTAAGCACAATTTACTTTTAAAAAACACTTCGCTGGCTCTTATCGTGTATGGCCCGAAGAGATAAGTTGCCATTATTCAGAGTATTAAATTTAGGAATATGCATAATTTTAATATGAGTATCCATTGCATATCGATATCGACATCCATTCATTCATTCACATTTTGGCCAAAAAATAAAATGTGATTATAAAAGGGCTATAATTTTAAGTATAAATATGAAGTTAATCAGAAATAACAAATATACGTAACTGATAAGCTTAATGAAGAGATATCGTGAAATTTAAACGCACCTTTTATTTTAATAATCCATGTAAATTTACATGATATCAGGATCAAAACATGGTACGAGTTAATTAACTTGTGATGATAATATGATTCACTTTGTAAATAAAAGAAAAATATGAATATACTATCCTCATACCAAATTTATCGAAAATGTCGTCCACTTCCATTATTCCGGTATCTATTTACTAGTCCAGTATGTCACAAAGGGAGAAAAGGGTATTTTGAAAGATTAAAACGCGAGCGTCCTCAAAAACCCAGAACTGTGCCTCTTTCCCAAATAGACCCGAACGCCGGTGACGGGTACTTCAAAATAACGTTACGGCGTTCTACCATTGGACTTCCTGAGAAAATACGGCGCATAGTAAAAGCACTCGGTCTTAAAAGATTACATAATACAGTATATCGTGAACAACGACCAATAATTGCCGGTATGATTTTAAAAATAAAGGAGCTTGTTGAAGTGGAAAATGTATCAAGTATTCCTGAAAATACAAGTAATAGCCCAGATCGAGGTTATGTGATTGTTAAAAGAGATAGGGTCAATTCAAAGTAATCACAGGACATTACTTTTTTATTAATAAAATTAAGTGACTTTAAATTACATGGCAAACAAATTATCTTGGTAATTCAAATGATACATGAACTTGCGCAGTACGCGCAAGTTTAACAATTTGCGATAGTTTGACCGCTTTGATGGCTGCTTCATCAAGATCATCAATAGAGATTATGCGAACTTTTGACTTTGCAATCAATTCTCTTGCAGCTTCCACTTCAGTACCTTTAACGAATAAGATATAAAATTCATTAATATAATTTTTAAATAAACCATAAGATTTTACAAAATCGTTATACCTTGCAATCTTAAAATAATCGGGATATTAAGCGATAATTGACTGGCAGCTTCGAGAACACCTTGTGCAATAACATCGCAGCGCATAATGCCACCAAAAATATTTACGAAGATGGCAGTAACATGGGGATCCGATGAAAGAATCTTGAAAGCTTCTGTGACTTGTTTAGCATTGGCACCACCACCAACATCCAAAAAATTAGCGGGTTCTCCTCCATAAAGTTTTATGATATCCATGGTCGCCATTGCCAATCCAGCACCATTAACTGAAATTTTAATGTTCAAATATCTTAACGAAATTATGTTAAAAAATGACGAGAATAATCAATTATATTTCAAAAAAAAAAAATTACCTAAACAACCAATTTGACCATCTAAACCAACATAATTCAAATTGTACTTTGCTGCCTCAACTTCTCGCGAATTTTCTTGCGACATGTCACGTAAGTCAAAGATATCTTGTTGACGGAAATCGGCATTATCGTCAAAATTAATCTTTGCATCCATCGCCAGAACTGTGATTTATTATGATACTAATTGTTATTATTCTAGTTTTAGCTATTCAAATAATTGAAGTTGGTTACCTTCATGATCAGCAGATTCTACCAAAGGGTTTATTTCTACTTGTGTAGCATCTTTATCAATGAAAAGTTTATAAAGTCGAGTAAACATCTCGGCAGCCTAATAATAATTGATTGATGTCATGTTGAAAATTCCCAATTCAAACATGTGACTATAATATTGTGTACATACATCTTCGGAAGTTTTATGAGAAAAACCCAATTGTTCAGCCAATTTCTTCGCATCCTCTTTTTTCAAACCAACGTCTATGTCAATCGGCAATTTTATAATAGCATCAGGATTCTCAGCTGCGACACTTTCAATGTCAACTCCACCTTGAGAAGAAGCAACAACAACTGGCCCTTCAGATTTTCGATCTTGCAATATCGCAAAGTAATATTCACGACGAATATATTTTCGCTCGACAATGAAAACCTTCAATGAGAGGAATGACAGTTTAGAAAGCTTAGGGAGTTTTGATGAAACATTTTCTGAGGAAAAAAGATAAAAACTTACAGTATTACATATTTTGCCACCAGGGCCGGTTTGTTTTGTGATAAGATTATGGCCTATCATCTTTTCAGCGCATTTTTTTGCTTCTGTGGGACTAAATAATCATTCGATTGACATTAATTTTTATCTAACATGAATCGAACATATGGGCGGATTTGAGTAAATCTAATCAGGTTATGGCGTCACATTTCAATTGAACTGCTAATACTTCAATTTAGATACACCTTAACTCACTATATACTGAATATTTGAATATTCTGTCGATTTTGAGACTTTGGATGTCAATCAAAGTGACACACCCTTAGCCCTGAACTAAAATTAGTTTACACTTACTCAAATCTCCGGCCATATAAATGTGACATGATTAAATATGTAATGAAAATACGACATACGAGTAAACGACTTTTACACCACCCTTCAGACCAGTATCGAAGGTACCTTTACCACGGCCACCAGCAAGAACTTGAGCTTTAATGACCACGTCTCCATCTTCTTTACCTAATTCCAGTCACAGCATTGCCAAAATTTGATCAAAAAACACCATGGATAGGGCTCGATTTCATTCAAAATAGGCTAAAGATCCACAATGCTCGAAAGTCACGACTTTTATATTTTGTCTTTGAGTTCAGCAAATTGCGATTGGTTAGATTGCTGAAATTACGCTCGCACCACTTACCAAATTTCTTTGCAATTTCGTAGGCTTGTGGTGGTGTTTTAGCGACCTGTCCCTTGGGAATATTCACACCGTACTTGTTCAACAAGTCCATTGATAAATATTCATGAATGGCAAGGAATCGTTTTTGTTGCCCCTTGCAAAGCTGTTTGAGAGACGAAACGATCAAAATTTATTGCAAACAATAAAGTAACTTAAGTCTGGGTAAAATCTAGGAAATGTCACCTAACCAAAGAAGCATGTTTTGTAAGAGATTTCGTTAATTTCAACGAGCGAAACATTTTTTTCGAACAATGATAGAATTATCGCCCGAAAACTTTTTATATTTTTATTGTCTTCTTTTCCATTTGATCGACGACCAATGAGACAAATGAAAAACTTGACTTGTGATCGACCAATCAAATAGTCAATATAAGTATAGAAAGAAGCCTTGTTAAGTGTTTACAAAAATTTATTAATAATTATGATTCAGTAAATAAGAGATTTACTGTTTCATATATGGATAAAGAGATTTATTTACCATTTTTCTCTTGGACTTTGCCAGACTTATATAGTATAATATTTTAGATTTTGCATTTGTCTGTTGCAGTAATCAAGTAATATATAAAATAATTAATAATTAACAAATAATTAATAATAAAGAAGACTTTATTAATTTCTATTTACAATAGGAGACATAAGTAGTTGACCTCTTGTCATCCAAAAATTTAATATTTTAAAATTTTTTCTGGAAAAGAATAATACAAATACTGATTATTCATACTATTTTGAATTAGTGAAATGTTTTAAAAAAAACTATATAATAATTAAATTTTTGTAATCAAAAAAATAACTCTTTTACTTTACAAATGATATGAAATAATTTTTTTACATCAACATCCAAAAGGATTCAATTAGAGTTTTGAAAAAATAGCTTTTTATATTGGTTATACTAAAGTTATTATTATTAATTAAATTAAAAAATATAAGAATCTAAATGATAAGAAAAAGTTAGATCTTAAGTATAATATAATAATCATTCAAGACAAAAAAATTACAAAGTGAGTAATAAACAAATATAATATAACTTCCAGCAAAATATAATAATAACTTAAAATTCAAAATATTGTAATTAGTATATATATAATTAGATAATATATAATTATAACTGGCAAAAAATATTTTAATTAACTTCAAAAACTATTACTTACAAAAAAATATCAAAATAAATGATTATAATAGGCCAAAAATTATCAAGACTTCAACTGGAATTGGATTATTTTTACAAATAAAAATACTTTTTAACTATTTTGATTAAATAAAAAAATATGATAGTTTTGTAAGTAATATAAAATATTTTATATAGCTAAGTATCTATCAAAAGTTTATGTATAAGATTATTTTTCAGCTCAGAAATTTGGTAAAATTATTTATTTTTAATAAAATTTCAATATAAAATTTATATATATTCTCTATCAAAAGATATTTAATATCTATTGATAAGTTTTTTGATAAATATAATATAGAATGATTTTTGTAAAAAGATAATAATCTGAAATATCAGTTCAAAATTATAAAAAAATAAAAGAAAAAAAATAAGATAAGTATTATCTTGATTATTAATATTACTTAATTAAAATTCTATTGAAAGTATATGATAATTACTAAAAATTAAAATATCAAAAAAAATTTAAATAATTTAAAAAACTAAAGAGAAAAATAATAAAAGAATAAAATTATCTTTCAAATCAACTTGCTTTAAATTCAGTTAATAATATAAAAAGTAAAGTTATAACATTAATAAATATAAATAATGACTATATTATGTATTAGTAATTAGAATTTGATTTATACTTTATAAAAAAAAATTAAATTTTATATTATTATTTTAAGAAATAAAGAAAGATCAACTACTTATATTTTTTATTATAAGTAAAGTATTAAAATTAAACTGACTAAAAATACTTTTTAATATTATTAAAAAAAAATATAATATTATTGCTATTTTTTCTCATAAATATTAAGCTAACTAATCTTAAAATTTAATAAAAAAAATAATTATTATTTATAAAAAATAAAAAAAAGAAATTAAAAAGTTAAAATATATTAATTATTATCAAAATCAAATTTTTAAGAATATTTATGTTATAAAATTTTTAAAAATATTAATAAATAATAATAAAAAAAATAAAAATAATGATAATATATAATAAAATTATATTTAATTTATAGATTTTTATTATATTAAATATAATTTATTATATTATAATTATTTTACTTTTATTAAGAAAAGTTATATAATATAATAAGTTATTTTAATTATAAAAATATTCTTAGTAAAATTTTTTTTTACTTTTATTTTACTAATATAATTAATATATTATTTTTTATTTTTATTATTTATAATTATTTATTTCTATATTTATTTATTAATATATTATTTTTTATTTTTATTATTTATAATTATTTATTTCTATATTTATTTATTAATAAATATTTTTTGAAAATATTATTATTTAAGTAATTATATATTATTAATTATTGTGACAGATTAAAACGAATTCAGATTAAAATGAATTCTGGTCCTTTTTTTGTGTACATAACACATGATTTATGCACATAATCACGTATCACATAAATGTACATGTGAACACGTGATTATATACAAATTACATGCTATTAATAATAACGTATTATAATGGGAAAACAATTAAAGCATGATCTGGATAAGGATAACGGTTAGAGCAGAGGACAAGATTATATGAAAAATTGCAGTCCCGACATTTTTCATATCTTATGTCAGATTTGTTTTGCACTTATGATGAACTACCATACATTTAAAAATAATAATGCATCATTGAAATAATGATGCACGATTGTAATAATGATGCACTATTACATCTTAAAGTTTTTATTATTTGCTCAGACAATAAAATTATTTTTATTTAAAGAGAATTTGTCTCTGCCTCTTTTAAAAAAATCTATCTGTCCCCACCATCTGTCTTCTACTATCTGCTTCCTGCTATCTGCTCCCCACTATCTGTTGCTCATCTAAGTTTCCTTAAGTTTTTTGCCACAAAAGTCTTTATTTCGCTGTTGACCTCAACTCTTATGGTTCTATTATTGCTACACATAGATATAACCTTCCCACTATTACTACACACCTGCTCTAACTTTCATTTTCTTGTTTTTTGATTGGTATCGTGATTGGGAGCAATTGCGACCTCATTTCCTAGCTCAAAGGCTAATTTTCTTTGATGAATGCTTCCTTGAACCACAAGTTTATTTTGATAAAGTTCATTGTTTTTAGCGATTTCTCTCCTTACTTTTTTAACTTGCATCACATGAGTATCATAGGTGGCAACTTGGCCATTCATGATTGGCATATTCTCTGTTTCTGTGACCATGTCATGTGTTACCTCCACGATTATTTCACTTGGCATATCTGTTTCATCTGATATATCTTTCCTCTCTTTTCCTTCGATCAAGATACATACATCAGTGCTTGTGGTATCATTATTCTCCTCTTCCAGCATAGTACCAACTTGTATTATTTCACTCAGGATATTGCTAGCTTGTATTATTTCATCCGGTGTATCATAGACTCCTCACATTTTAAATCCAAAAAATGCTTCATATGGAGACTTTTTGTGATCTTTGTGAGGTGCTTTATTATATGCGATCACAAATGAGAAAAGGATATCAATCCATCGGTAGTCCTGAACCTCAGAGATTTCGTTCCAAAGCATTTTTGTTAAATGGTGGCCAAGCATTTGGTTAAATCTCTCGATTTTTCCTTGGCTTTGTGGATGGCGAGCACGACTGTAAACAAGTATCGTATTAAAGACATCACAAGTACGTTTTAAGATGCTGATTATGAATTCCGAACTATTGTCTGCTTGAAGTATGGAGGAGGGGCCAAAACTCATGAAAACTTGCACCATTGTATCATGAATTATACTGCCTTCTTTGTTTGGAAGAGGAATGGTCCAAACATAACATGAAAATACATCGATCATTGTCAGAATGTAATTATATCCATCATTATGTTCAGCAAAGGAGAGAAAATCAACCAAGTCAAACTGAACATGTTTGAGAGGGCCATCGGCTATGACGGATGTTAGGTCGGCTTTTTCTTTGATACTGGTGTTTCAAATGCAAGTCAGGTAATTACTCATATATTGTTTGACTTCACCTTGCGTAATACTGATGTGCTGCTTGTAAATCATTGCATATGTTTTGTGGTAGTCAAAGTAGGCAGCTCTGATATGAAACCTTTCAAAAAGAATTGCTCTCAACTCCATGTCATAGGCAGGAATGACTCTTTTTATGACGGGCCAGAAATTTGCATCTTTCGGCTGTTGAATATAAAAAAGATAACCTTTCTGGTGGTCATATGCAAAATTTTTACACCATCTTTGGAAATTTGTTCTCTTTGTCGAGATATTGAACTTTGTTGGAAAGGTACCGGACTCGACGTAGCTGACCACGTTATTAAAATCCTCAAGTATTTCTGGGATTTTTGGCAATTTCACCATTTCAAGAGGGAGGGAAAAGACGCATATTGATTTTTTTGTTTGTTGACACGTAAAAAATTATGTATGATGTATCATGATGCAGTATAAGGGCACATTTTTATTCGCATAACTTGATATTAACGTCTCTCTAATCCAATATAACTAATAAAAACAGCTTGAAACTACCGTAATGAGGAAAATAATACAAAAAACTGCACAGCAAAATGATAATCAGAAGGGCGAGACAATAAAAACCAATGGTAAAAACATACCAAGCTAATATGACGAGATGGCAGAAAGACTTGATAACAAGAAACATAACAAACTAGCTTGCATATTCTTCGACACCAAAAAAAAGAAGACAGCTTGCATATTCTTCGATACTGAAAAAAAGAAGATGATGGAAAGACTCAAAGCCAGTTGAGAATTCACAAAGCAACCAAGAAAATGACCAATTAAATGAGGAATAATTTAATCCAAAGCGCGCAAACCAACCGAGAATTCACCCAGGCGAAATATTCAAACAAATAGGAAATGGCAGATGAAGAAAAAGAAAGGGTAAAGAAACTAAAAAAGTGACCAATCGAATGAGGAGCCATTAAAGATAATTTAACCCAAAGAATTGCGCAAACCAACCAAGAATCCACCTGGGCGAAACATCCAAACAAATAATGAAAAGAGAGGGAAATGGGAAATGAAGAGTAAGAAAAAAAATCGCTTTTTTTCCTACTGAATTTGCTATTGCATCATTATTAGTTGCATGTGACACATGATTAATGATAAGT